AGACTTGTTTTTACAGGACAGCCAGTCACGTGAGCTTGGGTAATATGATCACTCATTTTTTCTTAATGAAACTGTTGGAAGAAACATTCATACTATTCACCAAAGGAAACTAAAATAGTACAATCTTGACACAAAACACAGCAGGTGATAAACAAGCAAATGCAAAGAAGAATTCCGTGTCACTATTTACTGCATTTGCTCTCATATCATTCACCCAGGAAGATGCAGACTACATGGTATCACCATTTTAGTCATGATCATCTGTACTAATTATCAGAGAGAAATCAACCTGAGCCTCTAAGGAGGAGTCATCAAAGCTTTCTCCACGTAGCTCTGAAAATGGTATTAAGCCTCTATCTTCTGGGTTGTCACAGCGATGTTATACTTTTCAAACATTGGCCCTCATTTCTGAAATCTGAGGCTGTTCATGATCCAATGAAGAATTTATTAGGATGCAGAAATATAGTGTTAGAACTAGGGTAGTGCAGAGCAAATTTAGGAAGCTGGACACCATGCCACTCACTTGTACACTAGCAAGAGATAGTGAGAGAAATGAAGTTTGAAATTCCCATTTATAAAAGTATTTCCTCTTCGTCTGTTCCTTTGTTAAGGTAGCTGTGAGTCTGCTTCACCAAACATGATGAGCTTTCTTTTTCTTCTTTTTTAAATTCACAGTAAGAAACTTTCAAATACATCAAAGTGTGGAGTTGTCTTTCTTTAAAGTGAAGAGAATTTGCTGAGTTTTATTAAAACTGAAAGGCAGTTAGATGTGAATGTTTTCTTAACCTCTAACTTGCTAGTGTTTCTCTTTGGAGATGAAAGCTTGAAAATATTAATATTGATTTGTATCTGATAGGAATATAAAAATCACAGTGAATTTATTTGGTTAATTTGCTCTAAAGAAGTGGGAAAAAACACCCATATGTCCTTCTCACTAGGTTACTCAACTGTGATTTACATCTTGTTCTACAGAAGAAACCATTGTTTCAGACCACTGAGCCCTTTACCTCCCATAAGCCTGGGAGGTGACCTTCGTGGTTGGTGACCTGGTTGCTAAGATTTAGAGAAATTCCAGGAACTTTTTTTTTTTTTTAACGGACTCCACACTACATTTATCAGCAAATAGACTTTTTTCAATTCTATGGGCTTCAGTGAAGCCTACAGTTCTAAGCCATGTTTTATCTCATGATACAGACATTGTAAAGGCAATCTCCTCTCATGAAAAAAAAAATCCGCATTTTAGTAGTACTCTGAATATTTCAGAACAAAATAGTTTTAAAAGGTAGTTTTATAAGACAAAAGCGCAATAGTATGTAGAAAGTTAAATGAACTCTTAATACTGACTGTCGTCAAGTTCATAGTTGCGATAGAATGACCCAGGAAATACAGTTCCCAAAAACGTTTTTATAAAGAAGACAGTGGAAAGGATCAACATTAATTCATTGAGTGTGTTACTCATCGAGGAACAGTTGTGTGATCCCAGTAAAGAATATTTAGAAATCTATATATTGTGTTGTGAGCTTGCTTTTTAAATAATGTTGACAATTTCAACACATTCCCATGGAGTATTACAGCTTTCCAGACTGAATTATTTTTAAAACCATGAAGCAAAGGTCTCACTTCCCCATTTCATGAGCATGGACTTCTTTTATTAATTTGTTTGCACTTGTTGAGGTATTTAGTTTTACGTGGCCAGAGCGCTATTCACAAGACTTTGTACAGCTCTCTCCCCCACCCTATTCTCCCTGAGCTTTCCTTAGTGACATGTAAAAGAAGATTGGGTGAGATCAAAATAAAGGAAATATCAGAAATTCTCTGTAGCTCTTCCAAAATTATCTGTCACTTCACATATGAACAGAAACTCCAGAGAAAGGAGGAAAATGCTGTTTGTGTAAAAATTTTTAACAAGTGATGAGAGGATCTTTGAAGGTACTGAAACTCTGTCTTCTTGAGTATTCTCTCAGACTCCTAAGACTTTCTCCCAGTCGTCTCATAGAAAGATGATTTCCTTCAGGTATTTTCTTTGCCTGTCATGTTACTATGTTTTAGAAGTCTAAGCATTCTTTACAGCAAGTTGCTCATTTACATCTTTGTTTCCCACTTACTTATTTTTGTATAAGGAAGGATTTATACATGAGATCGTGTCATTTACTTACAGCGATGTTTGGTATTCATAATAAAATCATACATTTATATTCCTAAATTTAACCTACTCATATAATGGGTTCATATAATGATGCTTGTATGCATGGGGTATAATTCTTACTCATGCTTTCTGGCAGGGTAAGCCACATCACCCATCAGCCACGGTTTCACCAGAGCAAATGACAGCCAACGTTGTACTCTATTGCTACACTAGGTTGTTCAAGTAGGTACATGACAACTTGACAGTATTTTAAACTTAAAATGGGTTCACCAGATATAACCCCATCATGAGTTAGTTATAAGTTAGTTACAAGTATCTTTCCCTTCTATTGCTTTCCATTAAATGCATCCCCTGTAGTGCTTATCTAACTGTATAAATATAATGCACATGCTATAAGCTGGGCTATGGTGTTAGGAAGATAGATGCCATCTTCATTCTCCAGGTACCCTAAGGATTAAAATCTTTGTTACACAACCTGAGTTATATAGTACTCACAAGCCCCAAGCTGCAGTGTGAAGTTTGTTTATCACTTAAGTACTGTACTATCACTTTTGTTTAACTGATCCCTCTCTTGGAAAGAGTTCTTTAAAAAAAAAAAAAGAATTAATTTTATATATATTTTTGAGCATGGACCTCGTTGGAACTGTTATGACAAACTGTTAAAAACAAGGCTTTTATGGTCACATCTCTTAGAAAGACTCACTGTCTGTTGCCTCTTTTCTTTTTTATCATGCTGATAATATTTAAATTTTCAGTCGTATCATATGGGTATCTTATCCTAGTATCATATACATGTTGATGATGGCTCTTGATGTTTTCCCAGTAGACAATGCTAAGGGTGAGTTAATCACCAGGCTTTATTGCTCTGTGTTTGAGTCTTATGTACTTTCGTCGCTGACATTTTGAAATCTGTTATTCTTTTCTCAGCACTCTGCATGGGGCTTTGGAAGGGTCTACAGAGGCACCGAGTAAATATATTTCTAATAATACAACTACCCAGGCAAACAAAAGTGGGAGTTTTCAGTTTCCTCCTCTATTTTTCGTTAGTGCTTTAGGTCTTTTGGATACATTTGAGAAGGTATTGTACCTACCATTTTCCCATCATGGGAGATTGCTGTGCAGAACACCAGGGCCTGATACCTCCGCAGTTTCTTTCCTTTGAGGAAAAGAGGAGACCAAATAGCTCTCTGTCGAGAGAGCCAGGCAGCACCAATCACTCTCCACTCACAAACCACAAAAGTCATTTAAACTATCAGAAACCCAGTGCTGTTTTAGTAATATCCTTCGGAGAACCAAGCCGTTAAAGCAAAGCTTCACCTAGTTTTCTGCCGTGATTTGTGCTATTCCTGAGAAACAGAGCCGACTCAGGAATATTTCAGACCTATTTCACTGTCACTTCTAGGGCAGATCTTCATGAAATAACAAAGGTGTAACTGCATCTGACAGGAGGAAAATGCTGTGATTCATATGATTCAGACTAAGGGATAATGGCTCAATTCTAACAACTTTCGCATCCATGCTTTTCACACTACCAAGTTGAAATTTAAAATAAAATAGAAAGCATGTTAACTAATACGAATATTTGTAATCTGGCTGTTTTAATGTAGAAGACACTGTGTAGTTTCCCTTGTAAAATGTGCATGAAGGGCTAGAGAGATGGCTCAGTGGTTACAAACACATACTCCTCTTGTAGAAGACGCAAGTTCTGCCCCTAGAATCCATGTTGGGTTGCTCACAGTTCTTTATTACTTCAGTTCCAGGGGGCTTCTGATGTTTCTGGATTCCTATGGCACTGGTAATCACATGTATTAACAAAACTATTTGTATGATCACCATCAACAAAAAGTGTGTTTGTTGAAATTACAAATGATCTCTGGCTACTCAGAATGCACCATGTTCAATCTAATGTCCTTGATTAGTCCTTTACAGTTTTCCTTAGGTGATACAGCATGTAGGTCCTCTGGTTGGTTGCTTTATTGGAAAAAAGTTAGATTTTTGAGAATTATCTGTAAGTCAGCCTAATAATTTTCACTTGTTGACTAAAATTACATAAACCTAATGCTTTACTTTTCTTTTCGAGGTAGAAACTAGTTGGTTATGGCTTTTTAAGAACCCAAGAAACAAAAGTGAATGGCCATGCACAACTATTTTTATTTTATTTCTCAACTCTCGTTACTCTTTTGACAAGTCACTATGAACTCGAAAGCAATCTAATATGAATATAAATCCCATGGGTAACGTCATTACCCCAAAGCTTTCCACTAAATATGTGGTACACATATAGTTACTCAACAGAATTAATTAAAGGTTTTTATTGCAATTTATGTTTTCTGACTCAATTTGAAAACTATGATGAATCATCTATAGTAGAGGTATTTAAAAATTTCATATATATGTGTGAAATACACACACACACATATATAAAAGTCTGTTCTTCGAAAAACCAATTGAGGCACTAATTTTCTAAATGTGCATCTTATAGTTTTGAATAAAGCATTCTACAACAGGAATTGATTAAAAAAAAAAAACTTCAAATGAGCAATGCAGGTTAAAAAGCTACAGTTTTACCTTGAAGTCTTTGGCCAGAGTCACATTAATCTTTTTATTTATAGCGTGGAAATATATGCGCTAAGAATGTAGCCAATGAATTTTATTGACAATCTTTAATCTCCAAGTGTTTTACTTGGTGGCAAAAAAATAAAAACAAAAACTTTAATTATGGAATAGAAATCCCAAATGATTCAGTTTTTATATCTGTCGTGAGTATGGGGGATATTTAGTGTTTTCGTAAAATTCTGCTTCCTGATTACCGCTCATACACATAGGCGACTTACAGTCTTTTTTGTGTCTCCAGCACAGTGATGCGGTCCATGATCTTCTTCTGGATGTGATCACGTGGGTTGGCATCTTGCTGTCCCTTGTTTGTCTCCTGATTTGCATCTTCACATTCTGCTTCTTCCGTGGGCTCCAGAGTGACCGTAACACCATTCACAAGAACCTCTGCATCAGCCTGTTTGTGGCAGAACTGCTCTTCCTGATTGGAATCAATAGAACCGACCAACCAGTAAGCTGCTTGTATTGCTCTTAGCGAAGGCTACCTATAACCTTTAGCTTTCCAGGACTGTCCACCCTGGGGACCAGCAGGCTCAAAAGTGCCCTTTCCATTTGTTAAGTTCAAAGTCAGTGACTTTCACATCATACTCTGCTTTTCATTTTTCATGTCTATTGCCATAAAAACACAGTGAACATTACAGATAGGGTGTACATGGTTTTTATTTTTATTTTTTTATATCTGTATTACAACAGTGTATTACACCAGCGTATTACAACAGTGATTGTCCACATAGCTCCTGCTTGCACAAGTGCATAGCCTCCTTTGTCATCCACACCTCCTACCTGAGGGATGCATTTGTGACCATTGATAAAGGTTTCTTGTCACATCATTATCACTGAAAGTTCATGGTTCATAATTTGCATTCGAATTCATTCTGAGTGTCAAGTAGTCTGTGGACACACAGAAACACATATTCTCTCTTCTAATAGCAAATGCGGTGTCTTGAAAATTCTCTGTAATTCTTTTTAGCCCCATGTCTTCAGTGAGCCATGACATTAATTTTTTCTTTTTATGTTTTCCAAAAGTTTTGCCTTTTCCCCAATATTACTAAGATCATATACTATATAACTTGATAGGACTGGTTCTTTTCTTTTGTTAATATACACTTTGGCTTCTCACATGACACTTTATTACCTGATCTCTCTTTTCTTTTTGACATTGAGTAACATTCCTTTGTTAATATACTACAGTTTATGGATCGGGTAAACCACTGAGGTGCATTTTGTTCGCTTCCAGTTTTTGAGAATTTTTTTTTTTTTGGTTTTTTGAGACAGGATTTCTCTGTAGCTTTGGTGCCTGTCCTGGAACTAGCTCTTGTAGACCAGGCTGGCCTCGAACTCACAGAGATCCTCCTGCCTCTGCCTCCGGAGTGCTGGGATTAAAGGCGTGCGCCACCACAGCCCGGCTTGACAATTTTGAATAAAGCTGCTATTAACATTTTAATGCATTCACAATCTTTGTTTGTTATTTTGTTTTTGTTTGTTTTGTATAATCTTTCAACTCCTTTAAGTAATTATTAAAAAAAAATCCCCAAATAAACAACAAAAACAAAGTTAATGGGTCCTGTGGTAAGGTATGTTTAATTTGGGGAGAACATTGCCAAACTCTTTCCAAAGTACCCATGCTTTCCTGCATTTGCACCATCAGTGATCACAGCACACATTTGTTCAGAAATTAGAAGATGCTAATGACCAGAGCTGCAATGACAAGTAAAACTTAACTTTTGTAGTTTTCAGAAGACTTTGGTATAATAAATAATTCACTCCCTTAATGCTTCTCTCCAGTAGGTGTTTATATGCACGATGTACTATATAATAAAATGCAGTCGCATTCAAAACTATGATTAGGCATTCATGATTAATGATTGCAAAGTATACAATTATGGTGAATATATTTTTAATTGGTTAGCATATACTTAATGTGATGTCTTTTCTCATAAATGCAAATATATGAATAAGCAATCAAAGTACACATTTCCTCCTCCAACTAATGTTTTACGACTGCCAAAAAAATTATAGTTGAGATTCTATCTAGCCTTAAAATTCTCAAATGAACAATTGTGTTATTTTTGAGTAAAATATTCTATTCTTCAAGGCAAATACTTTTTTAAAAAAATTCCTTCATGTTGAAATCATACTTGAATTTTAATTCTCCAATGTTAATATGTTATGATAAACTTCACCAGGCAATGCATACTGCATTAAACAGTGAACAACATAAAAAATGGACACTGATGCAAAAAATTCCGGAAGAATGCTACTCAGAGAAAGTGTTCTTCTTCTTTTAGAGTTAGGTGTCCTGTTTTTGTAATTTTTCATCATCTTTGGAACTTGATTTCCCTCTAATCTTTCTGACATTTAACTTCTTCATTCTTCCTTCGTCCTCCTAAAATATGCAAGCAGACTTTCATTGTGTCTTCAGAGATCATGCTCACCAATCAGTGAAACCATTAAAATGTTATGTTTTGTTTGTTTGTTTGTTTGTTTGTTTTTGTGGTTGTTGACCTTTGTTGGTAGGAGACACAGATTTAAGTACGGACTTTCTGTCATAAGAACAAGCACAACGTCATGAAAATTATTACTGGGAAGCATATTTAGATGGTCCACTAAAGTTTCTAGTACTTCAGGGAGAAATATATGAATAGCTGCTCTTAATTTAAATCAGATTGTCTAGACTATTATCTAGTGCAGTAACAAAAAAGAGTCTGAGAGAGAAAACATTTCTTCAACAATGAGTTTTTGGAAGGATGCATTTTTTTTTGTTCATTTGTTTTATGTGCCCGAGTTTTTGCTTCTGCTTATGTACTTCACATGCATGTCAGGTACCCATGGAGACTGGAAGAAGGCATTGGGCTCTCAGGAACGAGAGTTACAAATGTTTGTGAGCCCCATGTGTGTGCTGAGAACCAAAGATGTAGCTTCTTCAAGAGGAGCAGGAGCTATTAATCATGCCCGCATCTCTGTGGTCCTGAGCACTACATCTTAGCTGGATCAATTTTGCCTCAGTGCGGGGGTGACATTCCTAAAGCAGGGAATAAGCAGTCAGCAATTTTTAATAAATAACAATCTCATTCGAAGATTACTATTAATTAATGACATTACTTGATGTAATTAGATTTTAAAAATACTTGCTTTCCTTGGTTTTAACATTTCTCTTTCATTTATAATTGAAGAGATTGAGGAGAATGTAGCTCAGTGGCAGAGCCCTTGTCTAACGCCTTCAGTTTGATTGCCATCTCTGCAAATGAAAAATAATAAGGCAAAAATGGACATATTAGTCTAAACTCAGAAGAATCTTTAATAAAATTAATTTTAAAATATTCTTTTTATGTGTGTCTTTATTGTTCTTCCTTTCTTCTTTCCTTCTATCCTTTCTTTGTAAATTTTGAGACAGTCTTACTCTCCAGCTCAGACTACTTTCATTTCAATTTGTTCCCAGCTTACAGAGCCCTGGAGTTTCGAGTATACACAATCACATTCAGATTTAAAGATTGAAAATTCTTTAATTTTAACTATAAAGATTTTAAATTTTAGACTAATCTCAGTAGTAATGATCCCTGGGCTCTTAATAAATTTTTCCCATAAATGTTATGATTTTCCATATTTTAATGTGGTGTCAGCCATAAGCTGTAATTAAGATAAAAGGCAGCTTTCAAGTCAATTGTGTTTTATTTACTTTAGTGTTTGTCCGTTAAAAGTCTTATCCACATTATTCTGTTGCAGACCTATTTTATAATTGCTGGATTGATCATCACTTACGTTAGTTATGTGTAGGGCAATAGGGCTACGTGCTGGTTCTGTGATTGAAGCCCGTGTTCCTTTCCCTAGATTGCCTGTGCGGTGTTTGCGGCCCTTTTACACTTCTTCTTCTTGGCGGCCTTCACCTGGATGTTTCTGGAAGGGGTGCAGCTGTATATCATGCTGGTGGAGGTTTTCGAGAGTGAACATTCCCGTCGGAAGTACTTTTATCTGGTGGGTTATGGGATGCCTGCGCTCATCGTGGCTGTGTCCGCCGCAGTCGACTACAGGAGCTATGGGACAGACAAAGTGTGAGTAATGGCTGTTTGCTGCCTTTCTTCTCTCCCTCTTTTCGGACCTACTCAAGGTGAAAGTTTTGGAATCTCTTGGTGTGGATTTCCCCCCACAGCATTCACTAAGGGAACAGAAGAAGCAACTTAGAGTATAATTCAGTGTATGGTTGGATATTTGGCTGTGAGGTTAAAAAAAAAAAATTCTTGAAACTCTGAAGCCATTTTAGAGCTGCATATTTCTAGATCATAACCTCCAGTAAGTGTAAGAATATTAATTTCTTAATCGTTTTTCAGAGCATTCAGACGTGTGCCACACCGCATGAAAACTGTTTTCAGACCACAGAGTTGCTCCTGACTCTATTGGTTCCTCTTCATGAAATGACAATGCTAGTCCTGGATGGATTTTTATACTGGCAGAAAAACTGAAACAGAGGGAGAGTTCGTGTCTCTTCCTCTTTTTTTTTTTTTCTACCTCATTATTGGAGTATAGTCACACAGCTCTTTTTTAATGCATCTTTAAATTGTTAAAGCATGTTTATAGAGATGAGAGCACTTAAGGAAGACATTTAGGTAGGGTGTGATGACCTACAGAACTAGGAGGCAAAGGCAGGCACATTTCTGAGTTGGAGGCCAGTCTGGTCTGCAAAGGCAGTGTCATTACAGCTGGGGCTAAACAGAACCTCTTGAAAAATACCACAAACGACAATAACAAGGAAGACAACAACAGTAGAAAGAAAGAAGGGAAGGAAGGAAGAAAGAAAGGAAGAAAGAAAGAAAGGAAGGAAGGAAAGAGAGAGGAGGGGAGGGAAAAGAGACAGAGAAAGAAAACGAAAGGAAGGAAGTATTGGAGTTGGAGAGATGCCTCAGCAGTTAAGAGCACTTGCAGCTTTTCTAGAAGATCCTAATTCAATTCTCAGCACACACATGCTATCTCACAACTGTCTATAACTTCAGTTTAGGGAATCTGGCACCCTCATAAAAGTAGGCAAAACACCACATAAAATAGGCAAATCTTTTTTTAAAAAATCAAAAAAAGAAAAGAAAAAAAAGACATTTGTTTCAAAAGATTTTCATGACAACTGAAATTCCAAACAACAAATAAAAGTTTCACAAGTAAAAGTGCAAAGAACTCCTGGTAGAAGACCAGTACTTTTATTTTAGGTGTAAACAAAAGAGGAAGAATAAAATCAGAGAAAAAGAGTAAACAGGACCCTAGAAACAGAATATTAGGACTGAGGATCAAGGAGAGTAAGAGAAAGTTCCATGTCAGCTTTTCAGAGTCAGTGATGATTTATGTCAAAGATAATGCTTGTAAGATAAGTACCACAGAGAAGTCACTTGATTGTTGGCGGAGTTTTTCTGTCCAGAAACTGCTCTCAAATAAACACAAAGAGGCTTGTAAATGTTTAGCCAATAGCTCAGGCTTATTACTAACTAGCTCTTACATTTTAGATTAACCCATAATCCTTATTTATGCTCTGCCATGTGTTTATACCTTTATTAGCATGGCACATTCATTCCCTGTTTCCTCTTCATCTGGTTGTTGACAAAAGACTCTGCCCTTCTTCCTTCCTTCCTTCTCTTACTTAGTCTGGCTTTCCTGCCTCACCTTACTCTGTTGAGCTATTGGTTAGTCAGGTTCTTTATTAAACCAATCAAAGAGACATATATTCACACAAGGTAAAGGAATATTCCATAGCACTTGATCTTTGCAGCAGCTACCTTAAGACAGTGCTAGAAGCACAAGCCAAATCAGAAGGTTTGAAAAATGTCTGTTAGCAGAGGCATCAGATATTATCTGTATCTTGAAGTAATCCCACTGAAAATACTGATTTGTATAATGACAGTAATGGAGAAATTTTAAAAATTGTGTCACATGAGCTCAGAAGCTCAGGATTTATGGGAGAATGCTTGCCTAGAATGCAAAAAGAAAAACAAATGTGCTGTGGGACAATGGTCTGTACCATGTCAATTATATTTTAAATAAATGCTGATTGGCTAGTAGCCAGACAAGATGTATAGGCGTACTGATCAGGCAGGAAGAATTCTGGGCAACGAGAATTCTGGGAAGAGGGAAGTTTGATTCTGCAGTCATGACCCAGGCACAGAGCAAGCAAGATATGACTGCCTTGCCAAGAAAGGTACCAAGCCACGTGGCTCACATAGACAAGAATAATGGGCTAATATAAGTTATAAGAGTTAATAAGAAGCCTGAACTAATGGGCCAATTAGTTTATAACTAATATAGACCTATGTGTGATTTCTTTGGGATTTAACGATTATGGGAACCAGGCAGGACAGAAACCTCAGACAACAAAAATGTTGGAGAATTTTGTAAAAGATGAAGCCTTAAGAATGTATAGACTGAAAGGAAATTGAGTTGAAACAAAATTAGTCTTAAAAAATGGTTATTTCTCATTTGTATTTAGTGCACAAAGACTGAATGAGAGAAAAGATTCCCAGGTAATAAAGAAAAAGATACAAAACAAACCATAGCATCAGACCTTAACTGAGTATGGTAAAAGTAACTTTAGAATTCACCACTCCCATGGTTAAATTGTGTAGATGAGAAAAATCAAGCATATTCATTCTGACTTGTCTATCATTATAGAGATAGATATAAGCAGACATTGGATATATTCTCCAGATTATTTCAAATGTAGTTAGATTTACTTTTCTGATGATAAAGGGAAAGGAAGTAAGGAGTAATGTACATGTCTAAGCATGGAACACTTCCACAGGTATAAGATGCAGACTTTCTGTGGAGTGAAGTGGTGAGGTCATGTTAAGTGAACAAGAGTTTTGAATAGCTTTGAGATGAGCATTATGGAAAATGTGTTAAAGAGCCAATTAGACATTAATAAAAAAGATTCTGAGGCAGCAGTGAAGGCTGGGTAAGGTGAGATAGCATCCATTTGTACAGAAGTTAATAAGCCAGATTTCATGATGAAATTTCTATCAGAAACCTGAGCATGCTGGCAGTAAAGCAGCTTGCTTCCCAGAAATGGATATTCATAAAGAGGGAATGACACAAAGAAGACACCAGAATTCCTGAGAGCATAGTTAAAATAGGGCATGTGGTGCCCGGACATCAACAATACACTTAGAAGGAGACTATTTCATTTCTGGAGTGTTCTTTTTTTTAACACAGTGACAGGCTATGCTGTCTCTTTCTATGTAACCATTCTTTTCAGGCTTGATGTTGTAAATTGCCGTCAAATCTGAATTCATTCTGTCAGTCCCCAAAAGAACCATGGGATCAGACTATGATTAGCAAAATGATAACCAACGTTGCTTGTAAAGATTTTAGAAAGAGAGGCATTGAATTCATCATAGGCCCTCTTTTTTTCTTCTCAAATAATGTCTTTATTGATATAATTCACAGGCCATACAACTACTCCTTTGAAATATATTCTTCAAGTGTCTTAATATGTTCCCAATACTGTGGACTCATCATCACTAATTTTAGAATATTTCCACCAGCTATTAAAAAACCGATTTTCTGCCCCTTCCCCTGGATCACAGTATTGTGCGTTTTGATTAATGCATTCTCCCCCTGAAACGTAAAGCTGAGTGATATCATTGTGAGTGACCTTACACTCATTCCAATGTTGTTCTTAAACAGTTCCCTCTTGTTTATTGAATGTTCCCGGTTTTCTTTTGGTGTTTTTTTTTTTCTGTGTTTATCTTTTCTCCCAAGTTATTTGCAAATGTTCCTCTTACTGAACTGAGTCAAACTGTTTGCTTTGTGATTCAGTCATTTAGTTTGAAACAAATGTCATTTTCTGGATAGCGTAAATCTGTCTTCTTAGAATCGATAGTACATGGTCCCTAGTGATTTTGTTAATGCTTAGGCCATCATTTCTTTGATTTCCTGCCCCATGACTGGTAGGTCTCATTTGCTGACATTATTACCCTCTGGGAATAGCGGCTAATTTATTTCCCAGGCACGACTCTAAACAGTCCTTAATTTCTTAGTTATGTAATTAAGATTTTCCCAACCAAAAGCAAAATAAAGAGATAGATGACAGAAGGAGTGAAAGAGGGAGGAAAGAAAACAGAAAAAATCTGGTTCAATTCTATCCCTAGCAGGCAGAAAGCATTTTATTGTTTATGTTACATTTAGAAATTGTTCACGAAGATGACTGACTCAAAGATCTATGGGAAAGATGTATTAACCTTCAACATTGGGGGAGATCACTGAACCCAGTATCTGCCTATGAATGTTTTTCTTCTTAAGGAAACTTTATCAAAAGATAACTGTTATTTTGTGTTAGATATTTACCACAGAAGCTGAAATGAATGTATCATGTATCTGTTTGGGCCTAATCAAGATATCTTCTTAAAAAAAATTGTAGTCAGTGGGATTTATTTATTTATTTATTGATTGATTGATTTATTATTTTGGTCTGGCATTGTAAACTGAACTTGACTCATTGCATTTGAGGCAACCACTCCAACACTGATTTAGACTGGCAAGGCACTGGATTTTGACTCAACTCCTAATACTTCTGCATTCTATAATTTGATCTTCTGTTTTTGTCTTTCCTGTCTCTCTAATTGTTGTTGATTGCTTTTACTTTATTCAAGAAAATGATCTGATTGTCCAAGTACTTGCTAACTGTGTAGCTTTTTTTTCTTTCTTGTGTAATAGTGCAGCAAAGAAAATTTTTAGAAGTTATCAGAAATGGTTGGAAATATTCATAGAACTGGCAGAAGATATTTAATGGAGAAACCTTTTTTTTTTCCCATGTACCTCTTAATTAAGTTTCAGGCTACATTTATTTCCAAAACCAATTAGAATGTGGGTATTTTCATCTAATATAAATTCTTATAATCTAGAAATGAAAGATATTGCCAGCTATGTTTTGAAATACTCCCTAATATCTATAAAGTAAATGCTTAAGTCCTGGAAATTTCATGATTCTTAACTGTAATACTAATTTAATATTTATAGTATATCCAGAATAATTCCAATTAATGTATTACATTGTAGTGTAATCTAAATTATAGATTTA